GTCTTAAAAACATGGTTAGGCAAATATGCCCTAAGAAAGAATGACACCAATGGACATGCTTACATAGAAGGAGGTAATTTCATGGGGCCTCAACCCTAGACAACTAACACAGCTAAGGAATACTGAGAGTGGAAAACATAGTCTTCCCTAGGAAGAGCACACCAATTGGTTATCCGATACTAAATGGTCAGCCCTTAAAACACAGACATACAAGCAGTACTATATGTATTAAGCAGTTGTACTTCTATATTTAGGGATACACACACACACACACACACACCCCACCATCATCATCATCATCCATTTACAACAATTAAAGACAAAAAGGCCATGGATTTGAAAGAAAGCAAGGAGAGGATTTGGAGGGAGGAAAGGGAAGGTGAAAATAATGTAATTATTTTAAATAATCTTAAAAATAATTTTTAAAAACACCATGAAAAATATACTTTCTTCAAGCCTACAAGGAATCAACTATAACATTGTATAATAGCAAACCAACAAAAGCATTTTCTTTGGCTTCTCTTCTATTTCATTTTAAGATCAGAGGATATAGAAAATGTAGGGAGAAGAGCTGTCTGAGGATCGGGATACCACTGTCAGCCTGGGCTGGGCTTCTTGTACATGAAGTGCAAGAGCTGATATGACAAGAAATTTAATATTGAACATATTAGTGGATTTTTTAAAATTTTGTGAGGGGTACAGCAATTGGAGGACATTTTATCTTTTGAAAGTTAACAGACAAGCAGAAGAGTCACAAGATCTACTTACTCTAGGTATTTGTCTTTAAACTTTTTTTCTGTTCAGGCAGGGTTACTTTGTATAGCTCTGGCTGGCTGGAACTTGCTGTGTAGATCTGGCCGGCCTGGAACTCACAGAGAACCACCTGTCTATGCCTCCTGAGTGCTGAAGTCAAAGGCTTATGCCACCACACTACTGATACTAGTGTTTTGAAGTAAAATGAACCACAATGTTACCATTACAATACATTCAAGCTTGGTGTTTATTCATTCTTGATAAACATTAACCTAGTAATGAAAATGTAGAATGAATTTGTTTAGTGAGACACTGGGCCTCTCTCGACAATCCAGAAGCCTTTGCCTGTCAGATTTCCAGAGAATGACTGTAACAGTGTCAGGAGAGCTGTTTTCAAGGATGGTTACAAGCACACTTTTTACACTTTTTATGAAGTCCTCTACAGAATGATTCCATTCAGTTTATGTTCTAGAAAGCACATGCACTCATCTGACTATTTTAACTAGAGGAGAAACATCATTTATGTAGGAAATCGGAATTTTTAAAAGTATATTAAATTTCTACATTCTAATATTTAATATTGTGTTTTAGTTGTTTGTATAATTAGCTAAAAGAAAGCAAAATTGCACAGACAGGAAAGGAAAAAGCAAATTGATAGTTTTAAATTTGTATTTGATGTGAATAGGAACTGGAGTGAAACAGTTGTCATGTGAGTGCCAGACGTTAAACCTGGGTCATCTTGAAGAGTATCCAGTGCTCCGAACCACTGAGTCATCTCTCATTCCAGCATTCTGTGTTTAACATGGTTATATGCCTGACAAAACATGGAACCCAAATAGAAAACCTGATATAAACAAAGCTTTACTAAATAAAAAAAAACTACTTAAAAGGGGAAAATTCAGTTATATCTCAGCTAATGTGATTGCTATACACAAGTGACTAGTTGAAAATAAAATTGTGATACTCATTTTTGATGACACTGAGCTGTGTAAAATGCCCTGGCATAAGTGTATGAAGCAAACCATCAAGCCTACTGTATAAAACTTCCAGATCCTACTACAAAGACAGGAAATGAGCCCAAGAAGATGGACAAACAGAACCCACTGTTTGGTGTGGAAGATGTACATCAGAAGATGTCAATTTAAGTTACTGTGAATAAAACCTCAATTTAAAAAGGGAACACAATCTTAGTATTTGTAGGAACGTGGAACCTAGAGTGACAGTCTTGACCTGTAAAATACACAAGGTGTTAATGTTAGAAGCTCTAGCAGTTAAATTAGTTTGTTACTGATGTTACTAAAGTAATGGAACCTGTAATGGAATGACAACTCACACGCTCAGAAGTGTCTCCCTGGTCCATAGCACCGTGGTTTCCTGTCTGGGCCGTTGCTGTAGCCTGCTAAGCATCTGTCTCACAGCTACACTTACTTCTGCATAACCTGACCTCATCAAAGTAGTAAGATTGATGGTTTGAGGGCATGTAATTCCAGTGTTCAGAGCGAGACAGGCATGGCAAGTTCTGGCCAGCCTGAGGTGTATAGTAAGACCATGTCTCATTAAGGGGGAAAGGGAGGGCATGTAAACCAAAGAACATCTCCACCAGAGCTCTGCAGTGTCACCTGTTTCCTGCTGAGTGGTAACTAAACGCCTCTAGTGGCTTCATTGGCCCTCCCTGTTCTGGCCCTCAGTAATTTTCTGGCACACCCCATCTTTATCATTGTCTCTCTGCCACCCTAGGTTCTTTGATGCATCCTGAATGTATATCCATATCTGACTCTTGAAGATGTCTTCTCCAGAAACATTCTTTCCTTGAAGAGCTAAATGGCTGACTCCCCAACCTCCTCCAAGTCTTTACTCAAAAGACACCATTTCAGTTTCAGTGGGTTCCTCTGACCACCCTGCTGCTCTCTCACTCTGCATGGGTGATTGCCCTGCCTCCTGCCATGTAGGCTTTTCTTACCCCACACAGAGTCCTAGAGTGCTTCTTTTCACACAATAGAATTGTCTGTCCACCAACAGATCCCCAATAGGGGGCTACATTATGTTGAATCAATCAATAAATTGCATAATCAGAAAGAAAATTGAAAAATAAAATATATATCTATTAATATCAATGTAAAATAAATGCCTATACTTTTTCAAGTGCTTATAGATGCATACTATATTTGTAGAATAGAAAAAGCATTAACTGTGGTTGACTTAGTGAGAAAGAGTTCAGAGAATGACAAAAATGGAAATTCGGAACCCCCAGAGCTTGAACCTGCCACCTCTTGATTTAAAAAAATATATATAGTGTATAGTTGAGCCTAATTCTGGAATTAAAAATTCTTCATGAAGTTGAGGCTCAACTATTGAGCACCTTCAAACAGCGTTCATTTGTTCAGCCACTAGGTGTCCTGTATCTACCATAAGTTCTTAAAGAAGCCGTGACAGAGTTGCAGCTTTCCAGCTCCCTTAACTCTCTGTTGTTCAGTGTTGCCAACAGTCCCAAGCTGTTTCTTTAAAGGTAATTGCAGAGCATCTGTTCGTTTCATGAAGAGATTTTCACTGTACAGCTTCCTATCATCATGATAGCATTAGTGCTGCAGAGATACATTAACTAAAAATCTAAGATATATATTCCAGACAAGATCTCGCTATGTAGCTGTGGCTGGCCTAGAGCTCACTATGTAGACCAGGCTGACTCTGAACCCACAGAGATCCACCTGCCTCTACCTACAGGGTGCTGGGGTTAAAGCTATGTGTTACCATGCCCTCCCTGACAATCTTAATTTACGTTTACAGTGTAAAAGCCAGCAAGATGGTTCAGTGGGTTAAGATGCTTGTCTCCAAGCCCGGTAACCTGAGTTTAATCCCTAGAATCACCTGGTAGGAGAGAACTAAGTTTCTCAAGTTGTCCTTTAGCTTCCAAACGTACAAAATACATAAATGGTAAACATTAAAGATTACAGTTAACAAATAGAATTGCTTACATTTTCGTTTATTTAACCTGAGAAATAACTTAGCAAATGAATGAAATTTACATTTTATGTATATGAAAGTATTTTGATTATATCCTTTTATTGCTTCAGTTATGTATCAGCGATTGTTCAGAAGCACAGTTAAGAGGCATTTTCTGAATGTTTACAACACTTAATAAGGTGTCAGATCCGTGGCACCATGAAAGATACAAAGATAAATACTTACCATTGTCATGGATCTTCGTTTGTGGGTGGTGACAGTCATGGCCATCTGCAAGTATGACATATGTCAGAATGGAGCAAATCATTAAATGACAATGTTAGGCATAGCTGGAGCATGAAGTTGATATTAACTTGGGGACTACAAGAATTTCATGTGGCATTCGAAAAGGGCTTTGTACACAGTTTCATTCTGTGAGTTGAGAGGGAATGTTGTAGAAGTTGAAAATTGTGTTCAAATACTGCATTATTCCTTTTATCTAAACAAGCCTAACATATTCATGCCTGGGTGGTAAATACGTATCAGTAGAAGAAATATCCATATCTCCATTGATGGTATTTTTAAAAAGAAAATCATGTCACACATTTTATAAATTGTAATATTTAAAGACATAAAAAAACTTCCTAACAATTAAAAATTTTAGAAAAATTGCTGTATTAGATGATTGATATTTTTAATTCAGGTTCTTTTGCTCAGTTTCTTAAACATCCAGGATATGTGCAATGCCTTATTAGAATGACACACAGAGTTCATGCTGTTGTAGAAACTATCATGCATTGTCTCCTGTAACACTCATGAAAAGTCATTGATTGGCTGCTCAGACTCACATATCATATACACAGAGAGGCTGGGGCACAGCAGGTGAAGTGTGTGTGTGGGAGAGTGGGGTGGGGGGGATTTGGCACAAGTCCAAACTAAATATAAATAGAATTAATGTTTTTACACTAAAATCATTGCTTGTCATTCCCTACCACTTGAGTCTCATTCTCTGTCACATAAAGTGAGGTTAGTGTTACCCCTTCTGTATTCTGCTGACTGCTTTGCTTACCCTGGGAGCATGGGAGATGCACCAGATCATCTTAATGAATGGGTTATTAACTTGTGGGATTCTCACAACACTGCTATGTTTTAAAACAATAAAATAATAGCCGGTTACCAAGCCTCAGCGATGCTTGTATCAAATTAAGCTTAGCTCCAGTGAGTGTTCTATCAAGTATACGCTCTAAAACAAAATTAACATTTAAAAACAAACACTATTCCTTGTCTCCATTTATGCATTTCTGTAGATGGCAGAAAGTACGAAGAGGAAGAGGTGGTATAGGAGTGCCCTTGAGGAAGCACACCAACTCTACAGGTACTCAAGAGAGCAGAGACTGGAAGCGTGCTGCCTATCAAAGCAGGGTATGACAAGCTTTCTCTTCCTTATCATCCAAACCGGAACTCCTGAGTGTGTGCTCCTAAAACATGTCTGCACATCTCAAATTGTATGTCTTTTCTTTATGTGCAGTGCCTTATTAGAATAAATATGGGTTCTGTTCATTGTAAAAGAATTTTCAAGTGAATTAATAGCACATATCTTGTTCTCTGAGATTATTCTTAGTGACTAAACTCAGTTTAAACACAGACACTGTAATTAGTGTTTTCTACTATTTTATTTACTCTTAGATTGCATAAACCATTACTGGAAAACATATAATTAAAAAATTAGGAACCACAGATTTAAAATGTATTCCTCATGTGATAGTTTTACAGGGATATTCTGGGTTTTGTATTATTTTGTTTTGTTTTTGAGAATACAGAGTTTTCTAACTGCTTGATTTTAAAATAAATTCAAAGCAGGAGTGAATTATATACTCACAATTTTAAAATTGTTTTATTCTATTTTCTTTACCTATTGTGGACATGCCATGGTGTTCTAGTGGAGGTCAAAGAACAACTTTAGGGATCAGTTAACTCGTTCTATGAGGGAGGTCCTGGGTTCAGTCAAACTCAGTCAAAGGGCAAGTGCCTTTACTGCCTGAACCACCTCACAGGCTTACAGCAGTTTTTGAAAATAGTTTTTCTCATACATAACTGCAGGAGCTCACGTCTCTTCTGGCGTGATGGTGACCAGAGTCACAGTGCTTGTCATTTGTGTTCTCCTCGCTTTCAGGCCAACCCAATGACTTTACACATAAACTTAGGTAGATAGGTTTTAAAGTTTTTCTCAAATATAAAGTTTCCTATACAAATTTACTGAGAATGTATATGAAACTTTTGCAATGGAGAAAAAGCTTCAGCATTCCTGTAGGGTTCAGCTGAAGGCCAGATCTTTACATAAAGTACTGTGCTTTCCAGCTGAAGGTAATAGACAGAAGGCTGTGTGGGATGTAAAATTACTGTGATCACGTTACCAAATATTTTAAAATATATTTGAGTTGATTATAATTATTTCATAGGACAGTCATAATCTTTTAAAAGTTAAGTATGCCATGTCTGCTAACTTTCAGGTGAGTGAACTTAAAGGCTGTGCTTGAGGAAGCGTAACACCCATGAGCCAGCCTCACACTTGCTAGGCAAACCCCTCCACTGAATTGCCTGCTCAGCCTGTTTTGCATTTGGGATGGATTTGCCCATTTCTACTTCCCTGCCAGAATTTTAATCATGTTTTTACAAAATAATCTCTCTTGTTTAGAGTTGTCTTGGGTTCACAAACATTGGATGTAGGTAGAGTTCCTACATACCGTCTGTCCACCAGAACTCACCCTCTCCGCCCATCAAAGACCATACCATGTGATCTGTTGTAACTAGTGAGCCTACACCAACGCTTATAGTAACCTCCTGAGTTCATAGTGTACATGAGGCTCCACTCTGGTTTTACACTCTGTGTCATCATTGTCATACTGCACACAATCATTCCATGGCCTTAACATCCTGTGTCCTCCTTACTCATCTTTTCTCCCGCCAACACTCAGAAACTACTTTTGCTATCACTGTCTCCACAGTTTTGCTTTTTCCAATGTCTCATGGTTATCCTTCCGTGTTGGCTTCCTTCCTATAGAAACACACACTTGAGTTTCTTCTGTGTCTTTGTATCATTCTATAGCTCATTACTTTTTGGTGCAGAATAATATTCTACTCTATACATACCACACTCCATCACTCATCTACCTCGGAGCATCTGGATGGTTTCACTTTTGGGTGGTTACTGATTATGTAGTTTTCCTGTGGCCATGAAATTTCAATCCCTTTAGTAAACAATAACCATGATGGATGGAAGATACTATGTTGAAGACATGTGATTTCCAATGTTGTGTCAGCAGGGACTGAGAACCGTTGTTGCTCTGCAGGCTCTCAGTGCTATGTTACAGTCGACTTTCTCTAAAATGGGTGTCACCTCACTGTGCTTTTTCTCAAGGGCCCTGGTTACCCCGATGCTCAACACTGCCATATGCATATTTGTTCCTTTGTGTTTTCTTTGCTGCAGTGTCTTTTTAGGTCTTTTGGCCAATGGCTATTTGCTTATATGGCAAACTTCCTACGGCCTTAGCCTCAAAATGCTGGACTTACAGGATTGCACCACTATGCCCAGCTGAACCTTACTTGCTTCTTTCCCCCATTCCTTCCTTCCTCCCTCCCTCTCTTCTTTATTTGTCTCTCTTCACTTTGGTCAGTTTAGAGCTTCATTCCCCAGGCCACATCCTGCTAACTCATGAATCTATCAAAGAGGCTCTTCATTCTGTTAAAGGACTGTTGATCCTCTAGCATTTCTTTCTGACTCTGACAAGTGTCATGTTTCTTTACATTACTCATCAGTGTTTGCTGTTGTTGGCTTTTGGTATTAGGTTTCTTAATGTGACAATTATAATTATAATTTTCCTCCCTGTCTGTCTGTCTGTCTATCTATCTATCTATCTATCTTTCCATCCATTTATAAATCTCTCTTCAAAGTTGGGTGTGGTATCCTGAACAACAGAAACTACAGACTCAGTGTTTAGTAAGCTAGACAGTGCTAAGGTGTAGGGTTGGGGGGGTACATTCTGTTGTCCTAGTATTAGGTCTCAGTTCTAATCTGTGAACTTGACAAAACTCCTCATTTTTTTTTCCATTTTACTCATTTAAGTAGTAAGGACATCTACAGGGGAGTAAAGTTGTGTGTTTTGCTTTCCATGATGAGTGAGGCTCTGAAAAAAAATACAAATGCATTGGACAGTAGTAAAATAGCTCCTTTTGTGGGTGGATCTCATTAAGACTATGGCTGTGAGTATATTTCCCATTCACTCTGCCAGATGCCTGGGTGAATTTTCTCCAGCCTGCCCTGTGAGAACTTGGTGGCTCTTCAGGAGAAAGAACTCACAGAAGGGCTCCAGATCTTCCACCCTGCGTTCCAGCGCAGTGTTTGTTTCACAGGGTTGTCCACAGTTAACCTGCAGGGGTAGGCCGATTAGGGTTCAGAGGTTTTTTTTTTTTTTTTTAACCTCTGGACTGACTGTCATGGAAGATTCTGTTGATGTGTTTCTGATCAGGTAAATCATAATTCTCTACACTGATGTCTGTTCCTTCAGATTTGAGAGCAGAAGTGTGCCTCAGGAACCCCTCTTCCCTGATAGATCTAATTATGGATTCTAAGTCCTATGCCAGACCAGAAACTGGCCTGCCTCCTCCCTTTGTAAGAAGGTGCTTTCAGCTGCTGCACTTAAAGGAGCCCAGTCTTCTGCCACAGTCGTAAGGAGGCCATGAATGGCATCAAACAGCCACTGCATATAAACTTTTATTCTTAGCTTTGAGGACTGTTACAATCTTGCACACTGTTTAGACACACGCAAGATATCAGAAAGAAGGTGAAGGTCTCTCCTGGTTGGAGGAATCTCCTGTAATGGTGACTAGTCTTGTGTGTTCTTGAGTGAAGGGAAATGGTGTTTCTCAGAGGATGTCATTTTAAGCATCAGGGGGATACAGAAAGAGGATAATTCACATGTGGAAGCCAGTGATAACTATAAATACAACACACTTCCCTGGGTATTTGTTTTCTGTCAGGTGTTACTATTCCTTGATAACTTCACACATGTGTACAATGATATGACACACACATTCCCTATTTTCCTCTCCCACTACCCATATATGTCCCAACATCGCTCCCTTTTAACATGCTTCCTTCAACAACACATTATGTCCAGTCAGTGCTGCCCCCAAAGAAAATGATTCTCTGTTGATTTGTTTACTAATATACATATATTATATATACCAAAACAATATATTGGAAGAATTTCCCAATGAGCTAGTTGGTTATTAAATATTATTCAGTGGTAGTCTGAGAAATGGCACCAGTATCCACATTCTTGTGGAGTCACGTCCAAGGCAGTGCTGATACCTCTGTGGTCCCAAATGGAAGCAGAAGACACCATGGACAGACTAGGGGCTTGTAATCAAATGGGTCTACTCTGCCAGTACAACCACAGGCAGGGTGCTAGAGAACTCCTCAGTTCCTCAGGGAAGATGACTGTGAGCCTTACAATGTTATGCAGATGAAATGAAGTACAATTTATATGATATGTTTAATCCAGTGTTTAGTATGTAACAGGTGTGCAAGTAGAGACAATATGGACTTCATTCTAGATTTTATATACTCCAGAGTGCACACACCAACCAGAAAACAGAAGTTAGGCAGACTTGATGCTACCTAATAAACACTATTTCAACACCATCCATCAGACAAGAGTTCCTTCTTGACACTATGGCTTTCGGGTTGCTTAGCTCTCTCTACTCAACTCTGAGGAGGTGAAGTTATTAGTGTCTTAGTTCAGAGGGCCACTGAAAACAGTCCTGTTACTGATGTGTAATAAAGCAGAAAAGTCTAATTTTGTACTTATGTATCTATTTCAACAGGAAGATGAATTCTTTTTTAAAATAGATATATTGTATTATCTTACAGGCAGAGCCAAAACAGGCACCAAAGCTTCTGTGGTGGCCAAGAAAAGGGTAAGACTGTGTTTTAAAGTTAACTTCAAATTCTGCTTTTTTAAAAGGGAAAATAAATTACTAAAAAAAAATCATATAATCTGATTTTTTATTCTGAAGTTTACTTGAATATATAACTGCTTTCTTAGGCTGAATATAAACAGTATTTGTGATGATTTCCATTGATTTTGTAGAACTAGGGCAATAGAAACACTGATGGACAGAGTGATGGACAGGGGAACAAGTACTCTATTAAATCTTGCTTCACATCAACACTCGGGACAATGTTTGCATGCACGCCATGTTACTGGAACACATGAGAAATGATCTTTCCCTAGAAAATTTAAACAATAAATTCATAGCTTAATATGGCTGTTAAACTTAAGTTGAGAATAACATTGAACAACTCAATAAAATTTTGGGTAGACTATTTTAATGGAACCTTATAAAGCTAAGAACAGTTAAAATACACTTTAAAAATTTAATACATTATTTTGAATTTTATATATGGAATAGTGTTGAACTCTATTTTTTTTTAGAAAATATGATTTAGAAAATATTGGCATTCTCAGATGGCAATGTCTAATTATAAGATATTACTGAAGTGGAAAAAGAGAGATGCTTACAGCACACACTTGGGCACAGATTGCATCAGTGACGTAGGAAAACCAACTGTACTAAAAAGAGGAGCCTGTGTGTGGTTACCTGGTTCATGGCTTGAGGAAGAGATCAGAGATGGTCAAGTGCGGGGTGAAGCACAGAAAGGGATGTTCTGCATGCGGCTAGAGACTGTCCATGAGATGAGCATCACTTTTGATGCGTGTGTGTGTGTGTGTGTGTGTGTGTGTGTGTGTGTGCATGCCTGCATGAATGTATATGTGCAGGGAGGGAGGGGTTTATTTAAGACAAAATTTTGATTTTTTGGTCATTGTTCAAGTTTTGGTTTTGGGTTTTAGGCAAAGTCTTGCTAGGTAGCTCAGGCTGGCCCCAGGCTCATTGGCCAGGTACTCCTGCTTGTCATTCCTTATAGGGATTTGATACCACACCCTATTATGTTTGTTTGTTTGTTTCTGTTTTTTAAATTCCATTGTTTTGCTCTTGGGCTTTACTTGTGAAGTAATGCTGCTCCTTCTCCTCAGGAAGGAGTTCAGGGTCCCAGGAGACGTCACTATCTCCTGTCAGGGTCCAGGGCTAGCCCTGAGTGCTCACTGGGGGTTTGCAGAGTTTGGGAGGCAGCATAGCTGTGCCATTGCAGAGTGTGGGCAGAATTAGTGACTCAACTCTCTTCTATTACGTGGACTAAGAAGTCATAAAGGCATCTCCTCTTTCCATGTATTATTTACGTTTGTCATTGTCCCCTGGGGGGCAGCATTATTAGATTTAGGAAAAGGCTACTGACTATAAATATGAGTGAAAATGTCATAGCAAACACACTATTCCATCCCAATAACTAATAAAATGACTTGAAAACATGGATAAGCACATAAACTTCATCTGATACTAAAAGTGTGAAATTTAACGTGAGGCTCGGTGGCCTCTGTTCAGATGCCTATTCTGATGTGTACAGGTCACCGGGTTGTATAGAATTTGGGTCTGGTTAACTTTAGTATGTGATGCTTGTTAGTAAGTTTCTACTGATAAATGTTATAAAATTAAAACATTATTAATATAAAACAAATGAAAAAGGCAAAGCAAGAGAAAAACTAACCTGGGCAAGGTGGCACATGCCTGTAGTCCCAGCCTTGGGAGGTAGGGCAGGAGGATCAGGAGCTCAAGGGTATCCTTGGCTACAAGGTGAATTCAAGGCCAGCCAGGCCTATACCATATCCTGTCTTCAGAAACTGTTTTAGCCCTTATTACTAGAAAAATTTTTCTTTTTGAAAATCATCTTCAAATTCTAAGAATAACTTTCTTTTTACTTTTGTTTTTCTATGCATAATACTCATTTAAAGATTTAGTTGAGATTAATTCACTTGAAATTTGAGTTATTAATAAAATTTACCCTGTATGTTTATGGGTTTTGCATCTGTAGCTTGAACTAGCTGAAGGTAGAAAAACATTTTTTTAATTTGTCTGTTGGGGATACTATTCACCACTCCCTTCCTCAGCTGCATCCCATCAAAACCAAAATCAATAATGGTTATTAGCATAACATAAAATAGAAATTTGAGTAATGACTTTATGTTTCATAGATTGCAGATATGTCCCTAGATATTAGATGATCTTTCTCTGCTCATTTGCAGCAATTGCTGTTCAGTGTCAGTGAGAATTAATAGAACTGACTTATTACAGAATTCATGTTTATAATATACTCTGGTGTATAAACATTCAGCTTCTGATGACTTTGAGATACTATTTATCTTTTTGTTTATATTATTGATGTCTTCAAATGTTTCAAAAATAACTTTCCTATATAAGATACACATCAAAAATCCCTACACCAGTGTACACTGGAGAACAGACTCATCCAGACCACAGGGAACTATGCCCTGCCTTTTCTCCCATGAACCTGTGTACAGAGTCCTCTCTGGACTTTTCATAGGGTTGGTACAGAGTATTCAAGCCTCACAAAATGATTAAGACTATGTCTTATTGTATAATTGGGGGAGATTCTGTCTATCCTGTCAGAAAACAGTTCTTATGTATTAGGCTTACAGGACTTGATGAGATCCCCACAGGCTGAGGAGTCACTGAGTATTCCTAATGTTGAGGTTAATAGGAGAAAAAAAATGGTGAAACACACAATAACATTCTGAACATTCATTTCTTTATAGGTAAAAAATTAATGCTGTATTATAACCATTGAATGTTCTCTATACATTGGCTCTTAGCAATTGAGTTTACATATGTTTCAGAAGTCTCCCTAGAAACAGGGTCCTCTGCCAACATCCCCCATCTCCCAGCATCTCCCTTGCTGAAATGACCAATGGCTTTAGAAAAACTGTACAGAAACAGGAAATGTTTGCAGCTGACTTGGATTTGCACAGCACCTCCAGCCAGAGGTCAGATAATCTGATCCCTGGCTCCTTTGTCAGCTGAGCAACTGTACTGCAAACCCCACTTCCACGGCCTTCTTTCTTCCTTGGGTGCCTTGTTGGAATTAACTCTATCATTCTTAAGTGTTTTATAGATATGAGTGAAATGTGAATGACAAGCCACCTTAAATTTTTGTGTTCAGTTCCTGAGCAGGCCTTTTAGAAAATCTAAATAGCTAGCCTTTAAGATCTCTGAGTAAAACGCCGAATCATAGAGCCCCTTGAAGCTTTATGCCAGTCTCATCCTTAGCCACAGTTTGAGGTGCTAATAGGAAATCCTTCATGGCTTTTGTTCAAGGTGGCACTGGGAGCCAGCTTCTATTTTTAGAGAAAATTCCCTCTGTGCCTCTGTTCACTGCTTGAAAGCACACTCTAGTTGTTCTCTCTGCTAAGACCCTCAACCAGAGAAACCCACAGAGCTTAGCTGCAACTGCAGAGAGCGGGAGGCAGCAAGGCATTTATAAATCACGCTGTCAGGCACTGGGCTTGATGCTGTCCAGAGTCATGGGGATGCCAGACTCTACTGAAAACTGACCTGCCTCGCATATGATAATTGATGTGCAATGTTTATGTAAGAAACAATAGAATTATATACCTCAAAAAGTAGCATCCAAAATAGGGAGAGAAAAATCATCATTTCAGTCCTCATTCCTCAAGGAAATGCTATGGGCAGTCTGTCTAGGCTGGACTGTATTAGCCGTGTGCTGCAGTTGCTTGGGTTCAGCTGGCACCATCATTTCTACCTGCTACAGGAAGCTAGTTTGCATCCTTCCTTCATGCACGCATCCCTGGCATCTTTTCCAAAGAGAAATGGTCATGCTGGCTTTGCAGATTTCTAGATCATATCTTTGAACAAAGTTTTCTACATTATTCAAAGAATGCAGATTCACTGTTGGAAAGTCTGTCAAGGCAGGTAGCCCTGTAGTGAGTATTGACTGACAATTACCCTCCAGAGAAGGTTGTGATACATCCTTAGGCCTGCTCTAAGAACAAAATGCTGGATCTGTGCTTTACACCTTCAGACATTAGGCAGCTTGTTCCTTTTGTTTAAAGCATAGCACATTTTCATTCAGAAGCCAGATGGCTTAGTGTTGAGTCCAAGTAAATAGAGTTAATGTAAGTACAATTCCTAAGGATTTTCTTCATTTAGAATTGAAGGCAATTCTAATGTTTGCCATTCTAGGTATCAACTCTAATTGTCTCTGTGTGTGTACAAATATGCACATATGTGCATATGTACACATATACATATATTCCCTCTTTTTCTTCCTACTAGTCTAGAAGTTACACAATACAATCCTCTTCTTTGGGGGTTATCCTTATATGTCAATATATTGGTCTTAAGTTACTTTTCTGAAACTCCTGTGTTGTTACTTTTAAAATTCCTCTATTGGTCATAAATGTTGTAATTATATCTTTCTTTGTGAATAATTCAATACCATATATTGTACTTACTGCTCTGTTCTGATTCCTTTCCTCTTCTATTTTATTACTTTTGATTATGAATCTTCTTTGTTTTTTCACTTCTCTACAAAATAGTCTTTTTTTTTATCTTTCTCAGTGTTAAGAATAAAACTCAGGTCTTATATCTGCTCTATAAAAGCTGTAGTTTTGAGCTCTATACCCAGCCCCAGTTAGGCTATCATGGTTCACTTAGTTTATCCTTTTTCATTAGAACTTCAAGCATCCTGTATGATGTATTTTGATCAGATTCACCCTTCCCTCAACTCCTCCCAGATCCACTCTCCTCCCTGAGCTGTGCAGGATTCTTGGCTTCTATTTTGTCATTTTTGGATTTTGTTAAACCAACCAAGTTGGCACTGTTCATGATCCTTGGAGGTGTGACTCACTCACAGCCAGTGGCCCCTCAGGTGGAAGTGGGACTTCTTACCCACATCCTCTCTCCACAATAACTGAGGTTCTGTCTAGCCTGAGCCCGCGGAGGTCTTGAGTTCATGTAGATGTACAAAATGCTTAATAACTTGTTTATCTCCACTTATTTTTGGTTTTTTCTTTTAGGTTAAATCTCTGTAGCATGTCCTTTCGTAGTTCTTTCAGAAGAATTATTTTTTTATTTAAGTTCCCTTTTATTTTGAAAGCTTTAATGATTTTTCTGAAAAATTATGGAAATTAACAACTGAAACATATAAACAGTTCCAAAGTTCCTCTGCTGTAATATTTAACAGCCTCAGCCAGCACGATACCCAGCTTCCCACTTGGTTACACTTGTGTGGGGTATAATCTAATTGATAATGCTCTTCTGCACTGCTGTGGATAAGGCGCCCAGTGCAGTCTGATCCACAGTGCTGTCACTGTCGTCACTTCCAGGACCATTCATTAGTTTAGCTTGCTTTTGAACTTTATGTCAACTGAACTATACATTGAAGACATTATTTTATGCGTTTTACTTTTCTTGCATGTTCTATTTGCCTTTAATTTTAGTTATTTTTAACTATTGAAGGTAGTGTATGAGATCCTGTGTGCGTCTTTTACATTAATTGCTTTTGTGCTTCTTCTTCTCCTAGTTTAGGAATCCTAGGGAACCTGTGTGTGTGTGTGTGTGTGTGTGTGTGTGTGTGTGTGTTTGTGTGTGTGTGTGTGTGTTTTAAATTTGGAAACCCTAATGTTCTCAGGAGCACATTAAACTTTAGATTTTTACTTCAATAGTATAGGCTGAGTGTTTTCTTTATGTCAGAAACATTGCTTTTCCCATCTAACCTGGAAGGCCAGAAATAGAATACTTGCTTTTGTGCTCTAGTGAGTAAAGTTTTGCCTGTTATTTTCATAGTCAAAAAAAATCCTGTTGTCTCCAGGCCTTATCTGATTATGTCACAGCAGAGTGCAGAACTTGTCTTTGCTTAGATGGAAAAAGCCAGCCGTGTTTCTTGGGCAGTGCATTGCTACAGATTCTTGGGGGCTTCTCCTATGTCAGTTCCCACCAGGTACCTTTACATTCTACACTTCTACAGGCTGACTGCTTCTGTTTTCCTTAAAGCTAAATGTTTGTCAAACTTAAAGATCGTCTTATTTTTATGGTTTCGTAAAAGTACATATGGGAACGTTTGAAATAGCAGATTCTTATTATTTTTTATTTTTTATTTTATATTATTATTATTATTATTATTATTATTTTGGTTTTCCGAGGCAGGGTTTCTCTGTGTAGCCCTGGCTGTCCTGGAACTCACTCTGTAGACCAGGCTGGCCTTGAACTCAGAAATCCGCCTGCCTCTGCCTCCCAAGTGCTGAGATTAAAGGCGTGAGCCACCACCGCTCAGTGAAATAGCAAATTCTTATCTGATCATTCTATTTCTGGAGTCAGACAGATTAGTACTTCTTCAATGACTATGAGGTGGAGGCTAGACCAAAAGGTCTTGCTAAGGAGTATGGGTGTCACAAAACCCACTAGTATGTTGAACAGATCTAAAACAATATGAACTAATTCATTTTTGATCTTTATTTATAGATGCAAGTTTCCAAAAATAATACTGAAAAGAAAAGGCCCAGAGTTAGAAAGAGGAAAAGGTATGTTTTGTAAAAATAAAAGTATTAGGATAAAAAATTTGAGATGTGTAAATTGTATTTAATTATTGTATGACATTTTCCCTGATTTTTTTTCCTCACTGGGTAAACATTGTGCTTAAACCTTTTTGAAAGAATTAGTAAATTAGCAGTTGGAAGTGCAGAGAAAGTTATACTTTATTTTGTTTGCTTTTGTTTTCCAACAGGGTTTTACTATGTAGCCCAGGCTACTCTCAAACTACCTCTCTCCTGTCTCAGAGCCTCATAGATGCTGGGATCCCAGGCACAGGCCATGGTACTTGGTTGAGAAAGATTTATATTCTTATAAGTATGTTGAACCAGAACTTCCTTTTACATATCTATGCATATTCAGAGTATGCACATCCGTCAGCTATTTTGTTTTGAAGTTTTATTTATTTACAATCCAGCCATTGCCCCCCTCCTGGTCCCCCTTCCTACAGTTCCTCATCCCGTTCCTCCTCCTCTGTGTTTCTGAGAGGATGCTCCCCACCCCACCAGACCTCCCCTCCTCCCTGGTGCCTCAAATCTCTCTTCTCCCACTGAGGCCAGACCAGACAGTCCTCTGCTATATATGTGTTGGGGGCCTTGGACCAGCTTCTGTATGCTGCCTTGGCTCAGTGTCTGGGAGCTCCCAGGAGTCTGGGATAGTTGAAACTGTTGGTCTTTCTATGGGGATGCTCTCCCCTTCAGCTTCTTCAAGCCTTCCAGTAATTCAACCATAGGGGTCCCTGACTTCCATCCAGTGGTTAGGTGTAAGTATCTGTGCCTGTCTCAGTCAGCAGTTGGTTGAGCCTCTCAGAGTACAGCCATGCTGGCTCCTGTCTGTAAGCACATCATAGCATCACTAATAGTGTCAAGCCTTGGTGCCCCCCACAATGAGATGGATCCTAAGTTGGGCCAGTCACGGAGCAGCCTTTCCTTTAGTCTCTTTTCCATTTTTGTCCCTGCAGTTCTTTTAGATATGAACAGTTCTGGGTCAGAAATTTTGACTGTGGGTTGGTAACCCCGACCCTCCACTTGAGGCCCTGTCTATCTACCGGAGGTGGACTCTCTGAGTTCCCTCTCCCCACTGTTGGGCATTTTGACTAAGGTCACCTCAGTTGAGTCCTGAGAGTCTCTCAACTCCCAGATTGAACCAGAACTTTTAAAGATTATCATCATTCAAACATGCAAGATAGTCTTTAGTTTAAAATAGATAAGACAAGCCAGAGTCAAATCTCCATAATATAGTAGTAAGCTACTGATAATAAGTTCCCGTGCTTCTGACTGAAGTAGCCTTAACATTTATTTTTCAGTATGTGACCAGGTCTGTACAAGGATTCCCACTCACAAATAAAGGCTGTCATGCCTTTGCAGAAGAAAGCCAGTTTTAAAATTACTTACTTATGTATTTATTTTATTTTGTTTTGTGTGTTAGAAGTGTGTGGGGCATGTACGTCCATGGTACACATGTGGAGGGAAGAGGACAAGTCTCAGGAATTGACTCTCTGCTGCCACCTTAGAGGGTCTTGGTAGTGAGCTCAGGTTGTCCGTGCTGTGCAGAGCTGTATCCACCCTCTTGATAACTCATTCTTATAAATGGACTTTGGTTGCCTTAGTTACACAGCACAGCAATTCCATCACATATGTTGGGCAGCATTGTATAGTTACCTCCGTTTAGAAGGTGAAGACTCATGGCTTGCAGAAACAACTCCTAGGAACCTCTGATGGCAGCAGTGCATTGGCATAGATGTTTCTTGTCAGAGTACAGTGTGACTAGGAAACAGCTTTGCCATCTGACAGAACAGGTTCTGTCATGACACTGATTTACCTGAGCTGCTAGACTTCTCATTGCCTCTGTAGTCTCAGTGCCTCAGCCTCTTTACATAACGAGGACAGTGCTTACCTAATAGATATTTTTGGAAGGTAATTACATGAAGAATGCCTGTGTGAGTGCTTGTTGGATTAGCTACTGTGAGCACAGGTTGTATTTGTTCCCTGTGAGACAACCAAGAAAGCACACCCAAAGATTGAGATATATACAGTCACAGTATATAGTTACCAAATACACATTTGCATATGTGCAGTAAAATGCATACATGTATGTATATGTACATGTGTGTGCATGCATTTATATGTGTATACATATGCATATGTATGTCTGTATGTGGGAGTTTCTCTTTTGAAACTAAATCTGTCAAAATCTTTTTTTAGGGACGCTGCTTTAAAGTGCTCTGTTGAAATTTTTTGTTCGGATGAAGCCCTATCAATGGAAAACATGGGTATGTGAAGCCTGTCATGGTTTTAGTTTCTTAGTCTGGATATAATTTCAAAAAATGTAGTTATTCTAAACAAAGCTCATGGAGACTCACAGAGACTGCAGTGGCAATCACAGAGCCCACATGGGTGTGCTCTAGGCCCTCTGTGTATATAATATGGTTGCTGGCTTGTTGTTTTTGTGGTACTTCTGACATTGGCAGTGGGAGTGTCTCTAACTTTTTTGCCTGATCTTGGGACCCCTTTTCTCTTGTTGGGTTTTCTAGTTCAGCTTTGATGTGAGATTTTTGCCTGGTGTTTTTGTACCTTGTTGTATCATGTTTTGTTGATGTTTCTGGGAGGTCTGGTCTTTTCTAAAAGGAGATGGGGGTGGGGTGGGGGAAGTGGAGAGGGGAGGTGTGTGTGGAGACTAGCAGGAGGAGAGAGAGAAGCTGCAGTCAGTATATTTTGCATAAGAGAAGAATAAAAACTGTAGCTGATTGTTTTTAAGGGCTACAAAGCTATTGTGCGTCTATAGATGAGTAAAAGGTTACTGGGTCATTCTGTGTCAAATGGGAAGTCTTCAGTTTTCTTTGAGTTTCTGTCTTCATTAGAATTACCCTGAAATTGTCATATATTTAGTGTTTTAAAGTACTGACAACTGTAAAGAAAATGCTATCAACTGTGCTTCAACCCAGACCTTTCCATTCCAAACCTATTAGAATCCAAAGAAAGAGGGAAAAACGGTACTAAAAATAGCCTATGGCTTAGGCTGAAGTAATTGCCACTGGTAATTGTCTTCATTATTTTTCTATTGCTGTCATAAAGTGCCATGACCAAGGCAAAATGTTTAATTTGGCTTATGGCTTCAGAGGGGTAGAGTCCATGATGGTGTAGCTAAGGAACTGCTGAGAGCTCCCATCTTGATCCACAGCCAGGAGGCAGAGAAAGAACATTGAGAATCACAGATGTCTTTTGAAACCTCTAAAGCCCAGTGACATCCCTCCTCCAGCAAAGTTACTCCTAATTCCAGACAGTTACACCACCTGGGAACCAAGTATTCAGACCCATGAGCCTATGGGGTTGCTCTCAACCAAGCCACCACAGTGTCAGACACAGTAGAAAGGGTGTGAATGCAAGCAGCAAGTTTGTCTCTCATGCTGCTTGACTTGCCCTCCAATCAATTTTCAGAAGTAAGCTGATGCTTTATTTGCAAGGTGGAGCTGTGGTAGTCTTGCTTAAAGCACATCAGACTAGAGGTTCTGTTAGTAGTGCTCCTCCTTGAAGCCACTCCACAGCTGTGGATACTGCATTTCAAGTGGCTAAATAAGCCACTGACCTGTAGTCTCATGTAAAGAAAGTGAAGCAGGGAGAGGAAGGATGGAATATTTATTTTCAAAATCCTTTTGTTTTTTCTTCCCAAGCATGGTAAAGTCCTGTTCTTGTCTCTGTTCAAGGCTTCTGTTATTGCTTTCACACTCCTGACTTCTGTTCTTGGCTACTTCTTCCTTTTGACTTTCATGATGAATTCAATTTCTGTGTTCCAGTATCAAGGCAAAGGTCTGTCTGTCCCTAAATGGACACACAGAGAAAGTCTAGACAGTTTACCCAAAGGCTCTGTCTTATTTAAGGTTTTATTGCTGTAAACAGACACCATGACCAAGGCAACTCTTATAAGGACAACATTTAATTGGGGCTGGCTTACAGGTTAAGAGGTTTAGTCCATTATCATCAAGGTGGGAGCATGGCAGCGCCCAGGCAGGCATGGTGCAGGAGGAGCTGAGAGTTCTACATCTTCATCGGAAGGCTGCTAGCAGTATACTGACTTCCAGGCAGCTAGGATGAGTGTCTTAAAAGTCCACATCCACAGTGACACACCTACTCTAACAGGGCCACACCTACTGCAACAGGTCCACACCTTTTAATAGTGCCTCTCCCTGGGACAAGCATATACACACCACTTCCTTGCCCCTATAGGATTGTTCAAACATATTAGTCTATGGGGGCCATGCCTAAACATAGCATGATGCAAAATACATTTAGTCCAACTTCAAAGGTCCCCATAGCAGACTCAACAGTGTTAAAAGTCCAAAGTTCAAAGTCTCTTTTAAGAGTCATCCAAGTGCTTTACTATAATCCCCAAAGCAAGACAGGAAACCACCTGGGCAAACTCCAAACTCTGCATCTCCAAGTCTGATTTCAAGGAGGTCTTCAGATCTCCAGCTCCCTTTTCATCTTTGTAGACTGCAACAAACTTCCTTCTCCTGGGCTGGTTCCACTCCCTATTAGTAGCTTTTCTCAGCAGATAGGCCATAGCTTTGGCATCTCAAACATCTTAGGGTCTCCAAGGCAACTTCAGTGTTACAGCTTCTTGTTTCAATGGCTGGGATCCACACATGATCTTGTGGGCTCCTCCGAAGGGCTGGTGTCAGTCACTTCTCCAGCTCTGCCCTCTGTAGCACTCTAAGTTCAGGTTAATTCACTTCATTGTCGCTGCTGTTCTTGGTGATCATCCATGGAACTGGCATCTCCAATACACTGGGGTCTTCTGCTGCAACTAGGCTTCATCAATAGCCTCTCATAGGCTCTCTTCATGGTGCCAAGCCTCAGCTCCTTTGCATGACCCCTTCAGTCCTGGGCTATCAACATCAACTGAGGCTGCACGTTCACCAATGGCCTCTCACAGTGCCAAGCCTCAGCTGCTCTTCATGACCCCTTCATGCCTTCAAAACCAGTAACACCTGGGTGACTCTTACACATTACCAAGTACAACTGCAGCACGAGGTACAACCTTGTCTATCTCTGGAACAAAGCTTTGTTGTACTCTCAGAAAACACTTCCCAGAAGATTTCACCTCAGTGATGCTGGCTGGCCTCTTCATAATCACAATGAATTTCTTAGCTCTAGCTAACCAACACCAATTGTCCCAGTAGTTCCTTCTATTCTGGACTCTAAATCCAGAGCCACATGGCCAGAGCTGCTGAGTTCCTCTGCTTGCAGGGGCTGGAACATGACCTTGTTTTATTACATTATCATTAGCTTTCTGTTTTCCAACTCCTTTTCTGCCTAACCTTGGCTGTCCAGAAACTTTCTCTGTAGACTGACTTTGAACTCAGAGATCAGGATAGCTTGTCTCTTGTAATGCTGGGATTAAAGGCGTGTACCACCATGCCTAGATTTAAGCTTTTCTTTACCTAGAACCTGCTTTGTCCCAGGCTGGCCTTGAACTCAGAGATTTGTTTGTATTGTCTCCTGGGATTAAAGATGTATACCACAATGTGTGGATCTAAAGTTAGCTAAGTAGTATCTTGCCCCCAAATCCCTTAATCTGTCATCTCCTAGAATATAAGATTCAGTTCCCTTTCACTTCCTGGTGCTCCTTTACTACTTGAGCCATATATTTTATATTTTTTCTTTTTAAGCCTGCTATGCTTGTTCAAAAAACTCTTCATGAGACTTAACCACAGAACAAAGTCTCTGCTGGGCTTTTTTTGACTTCTTTTGTCAATGCAATTAATATAAATGTCTTTACTTTAGGCTCAGGTAGACTCTTCAGACAAGGACAAAAGGCAGCCACATTCTTCACCAAAATACCATAAATACAGTCTCTAGGCTACATTCTGGAATTTTTCTACTGAAATCTCTTGGTCTAAGTCTTCACAGTTCAAATCATACTCAGCAACAAAGTCTTCTATATTCCTACTAGGATGGCCCATTAAGCCCAAGTTAAAGCATTCCACTGCTTTCCAAAGTCCCAAAATTCACATCCCTCCAAACAAAAGCATGGTCAGGCCTATTACAGCAATACCCCAGATCCTGGTACCAACTTCTGTCTTAGTTAGAACTTTATTGCTGTGAACAGACACCATGACCAAGGCAACTCTTATAAGGACAACATTTATTTGGGGCTGGCTTACAGGTTCAGAGATTCAGTCTATTATCATCAAGGTGGGAACATGGCAGCATCCAGGCAGGCATGGTGCAGGAGGAGCTGAGAGTTCTACATCTTCATTTGAAGGCTGCTAGTAGAATTCTGGCTTCCAGGCAGCTAGAATAGGGGTCTTAAAGATCACACCCACAGTGACACACCTACTGCAACAGGGCCACACCTTCTAATAGTGCCTCTCCCTAGGCTGAGCACATACAAACCATTACAGGCTCCTAAGCAGCCCCTTCTTCTAAGAAGCGTTCATTTGGAACTGCCCTTACTCTCTTTCTATTATTTTTGTCTTTTTACTTGATCCTTTTTTTCTGAAGGGGAGCACTTGCCTACATTTCAGCTAACTAGTTTCAGTGGTCAAAGGCCACTGTAAAGATCCTCCCTGGACCTATGCATATCTTATCACATCAAGACCTTCTGTTCCAAATCACCAGCTTCATCTGAACCCTGTACCGAGCAGCCCAACCAGAGACTGAATGAAGGATTGGCAGTGGGGATTGTAACAGGAGAAGTCAAAGCAGTATGTGAATTATAAATTGGGATATGAACTGAGGAAAGCTTAGGAAAACCCGGCCTACCTAGGGCCATTGTCAGGTACATAAGAATAATTAAGCAGTGGAAGAAGAAACTTCAGCAAGCCCTGTAAAGAATGTTAATTTTATGGTAAATTCTTCTCTCTCTCTCTCATTCTCTCTCTCTCTCTCTCTCTCTCTCTCTCTCTCTCTCTCTCTCTCTCTCATTAGTAAGAAGTTTTCTTTGTCCTCTAAGTAGCTTAAACTTTTGAGAACGAGTTATTAAAGCCCTTGAGCAATGTGGAGTGACCCCAGAAGCTAATGTTTCCAACACTGGAGGCTTTCTGGGGAAGGACCTCTGGAGGAAGGAGAGCCTTAGGGCGTGCCTTTGACGGGTATGCCAGCTTCCAAGTCCTAGTCCCACTCTGACCCCTCATCAGCCTTGAAGTGAGCTGCTCTGCTCTGCAGCACGCTCCAGTAGCAGTGATGTTTTACTCAAGCACTAGGCCAAGCAAACAGGAATGGAAACCCTCTGAGTCTTGAAAAAAATAAATTGTTGCTTCATAGTTTTTGC